AAAAGTTTATCATTCTGTTGACTACTGTATACAGTATATACCATTTCAGGGATAATTCACCTAGGTATTTTAAAAGTAAGCCATGGAATTTCTTCCTAAAAGGTTGTGGAATTTGGAGCTGGTGACTACCAGCCATATTAACTATGGGGCACTACACTGTAACCAAATCTCTCCACTCTTCTCTCCATCACCTTGTTGGGATCATAATTTCCTCTCTGTCTCTTTCCGTCTGTTTTCCTTTTTCTCTGTATTTATGAATCTTTGTGTATACGTGTGTGTGCATGCATGGGTGTAAAACAATAAGGTGCATATATATACAAATATCCAAGAATTCTTCTATTGTTACAATCATATCCTATACCTCCTCATGAGCTTCATTTACAGAATCAAAGGAAAAACCATTCATGGCTTTCATCTTTTCATCCTTGTTAACATTCATCTCCTAGTTGGGATCATAATTTCCTTTTGTGTGTGTGGGAATTAATAGAAATTGAGGAAATGGGAGCATTTTAGCTTTAAAGTATTCATTAAATGGCAAGCATTAGAAATCATCAATAAAGATACCATCTTAAAATCATCATCATACTTTCCAGAGAAAAGATCTTCTAAATAAAGTGTTTCCTGAGAGCTCCATCTAATAAGGAAATAACTGAGCTGGAATGCATTCTTCTTGAAAACCAGTGCCAATCATTAAACTGGCTCACAACATTTCCTGCATGTTTTTATCACATTAGATTTGTGGAAGACCCTAATTATCTGTCAAATACTAAAAAATTAGTCACTTGGAGATTAATTAATCAAGATGTGCAAATCACACTGGGGATTACACATATTTTCACAAAGAGAAACAATAAAACTACCCAAAGAAATGCTTAATCCTGGGAACCAGCAGTTACGTAATGGCTATGTTGCTGACTCCCACGTAGTCGACCACGGTTTGTGTCCCGGACCCAGTGGCTTAAAACTCACGCCGGGTGCGTGTGCGTGCGTGCCCAAGATCCCAAGAGGAGAATGGAGGAGAAGGGATTGCGGCGTGACCATCCCCCCTGGGGGGTGATTTCTCGCTTTCTGTCTCTATGTCTCTCTCTGTCTGTCTGGTGAGCACACGCGCCCTACAGTGAAAATCTCTCCAAAAAAAAAAAAAAAATTAAAGAAATGCTTAATCCTTACCTTGGCTTTCAGGATTCTCCTATGACTGTTTCTCAAACTTGTCTGGTGAGGCCCCCAGGGATATTATTGCCATGTTTGTAGCAATTATTTGTGCTCAATTTACCCACTCCAAATATTTTCAATCAACTTTATTTTCCTTCATTTCCTCCCTTCATATTTTACCTTGCACTTAACACAAATTCTATATTCACTTATGCCATTTCTCTGGCATTTACATCAATTAAACATACTATTTGGCTATTATAGTCTTTATATGACACAGTTAGCTTGGCATTGCCTTCATGAAAAACTCATATCACAAGCATATTCACATTTTTAAAAAATCCACCCATCTGCTTAAAGTACTGTTGGCAATTAACTTCATAGGAAAATAAACATTTGGGCTCCATTTCAAGTTAATTGTCCATAAACATTGTCTTTCCAAACAAGATTTTAGACATGTAGAGCTGCAGAAAATTCTTAAGTATGTCTCACAAACTTGGCAAGTGTTTACTTAGTCACATAGTTTGATTAGATATCACTGAGAAATCCTGAATGATTTAGAAAAAAATCTCTCCACCTTTACTAATAGAAATCTGTTATTCAAAAGTTAATTTTTCACCTTTTTAATAGGGATTTCTTAAATTACTATAATGCACAATTTTAGATGATTGGAAACTCTCAGTGAACAAGAGACAAAAATTTCAGCCCTCGAGAAGCTTAACAAGGGACAACTAAATATAAATCTAATGAATAGGCACATTTTATAGATGTCTGACGATGAAAGCTATCCCCCAAGGTAGGGGGTCAGGAACAGCAGCACTGGGCATGGCAGGTAAGTTGCAATACTATCTAAGGTATTGAGAGTATGTCTTGTTGAAAAGATAAGATCTGAGCAAAGACTGAATAAAAGAGTGAGTCAGTACATGAATTGATGTGATAGGGTGTCCCAGGCACAGGATATAAATAGAGAAAACGTCTACGGTAAGAAAATAACAGATGGGCATGAGGAATAGCAAGGACAGTTGTTGCCCTCTGAGCAAGCGAAGGAAATGTAAGACAGTAGTTGATGAGCAGATGAGCAGCTGAGATCAGAAAGGTCAAGAGTGGTGAGATTATGTCCAGCCTGGCAGCCATTGTGAAGACGTTGGCTTTTATTGTGAGTGAAATGGAAGAAAGGTACGTCATTACAGGATTTAAATAAAGGAATAATGTGATCATATGCTTTAAAATGGTCACAACAGATGTTACATTGAGAACAGACTTGAGGAGATAGAGACTGAAGCCTCTAAAGGAGGTGACGTCAGCAATAATGCCAAGACAGAACGTTACCTAAGACCTCTGTGAGAGCAACGGCAATGGTGAAGTCCCCAGATCCCAGATATATTTTGAAGGTAGTGTCTGTATTATGTCTTTAGAGAGTATACATGGAAAATGAATGGAAAAAACAAGGGGGGAGGAGGGAGTGAAATGTAAACAACAGAAAGGACAGAGTGATCATAAAATGAGACGTGGAAAACTGCATGTATGAGAAGTTTTTCAGGTAAAGGGAGATCAGTGGATTTTGAATGTGCTGAATCCGATACTTAAATTAGAAAATCAAACAGAGATGCTGAGGTGGCAACTGGAATCTGAAGTTTGGATGATAATTCTCAGTTAGGCATATAAATGTGGGTAGCATTACAATACAGATGAAATTTAAAGCTACACAATTAGATGAGACTACCAAGAGAAAGAATGTAAATACAGGTATAAAGACAATCAAAGACGGACTTTTGGAATCATCCAAAATTAGGATATTGAAAAGTAAGAAGAGCCAGTTCATAATTTGAAGAGTTACCACTAAAACAGAAGGAAAATAAAAGAAAGTGCAGGATCCTGGAAAGCAAGTGATGAAAATGTAGAAAGGAGAAGAGCATCCATTGCATCACATCCTTCTGATAGATCAGTAAAATTAAAACTAATAATTACCACAATAAGTTTACATTACTAGATTAATGGCCTATATTTACAGAAAATACAATGTACTAATACTTTTCAGTTAATTGTTGCTTGTTGTAAACTAAAGCAATAAGAGGACAATGAAATGTAACCAGAGGCGAATGTATGAAATTAAGTTCTTCAGGTGAAGGAAAGAGTATGATAATCATATTTCAGAGCTAGAAATACCATTGAAGTCTAATAGTCATCCTTTTCTAACAATCAGACCATGAACAATTTACCAAATATTTCTAGGTTTATTTTTCCTTATCTCCAAAATAACAGAGTTATACAATAAATCTTCAAAAACAGTTTGTGTAAAAATAGAATTAAAGTATGAGCTTATGTTGATACAACAATTTTTTGAAATTCATGTATAGTTTTTTCATAATACACATTTTTCATTTTGAGGATTTCTCATAGGACCTCTAAGGTCTCTGCATCTCCACACTTTCATGATTTGAAAATAAAATAACACCCATATTTCTAACACTCGATAAAATTACTTTCAATCTTTAAATCCTATCTTCTATTCCTGTTCACATATGTATAAAATACACCTCTATACATAAGTACACAAATTTAGAAATAAGACTTGCATGTGTATATTCATGATTACTTGGTAATATAAGAAAAAGGATGAGGCAGAAGAAATGTGTCTGAAGGAGCATGTCTGCGTGTCTGCTTCCATCAGTTGCTCATCTTTAGGTGATACACAACTTCTGAGTTATAATTAAATATGTTAAATTTTCCAGTACTACAGCACTACTGAATTTACTGCAGTGTGACCATTTCCATAATTCTAAAAGATAACAGCAGCAAAAAAACACCCTCAGTGTTCTCTCAACACAGGAATAAAAGAAAGAAAGAAACCTTTCCTTCCCAAAGATATTGACCCAAAAGGAGAATTTAAATAGTCTGTCTGGATACATGCCTCCCCTACTTCTTTCTCCCTTTTCCTCCTGATTTCGGAGTCTGGAGGGTCCTGCATTAGTTAGCTCTCCTTCACTCCTGTTTGAAATTGTCAGTGGACCATGTGTGTTCTTTTTATGATAAAGAGGTGGAGTTTGAATTTATGAAATATCACCCCACAAGTCTGGATTTCACGACTATTTTGTTGTTGCATAAATCTTATTTTGCAAGTCAGAAACTTTCTCTCTTATCTGCAGTTCTCCTCTAACAACTTTTTTTTTTTGGAGAGGTTTTTGCTATAGGGCGCGTGCGCTCGCCAGACAGACAGAGAGACAGAAGGCAAGAAATCACCCCCCAGAGGGGATGGCCACGCCACAATTCCTTCTCCTCCATTCTCTCGGGATCTTGGGCACACACGCACACGCGCCCGGCATGAGTTTAAGCCACCGGGGTCCGGGACTCAAACCGCAGTCGACTACGTGGGAGTCCAGTGACATAGCCATTATGCTAACTGCTGGTCCCTCCTCAAACAATGTTAAATCCTGCTCCTACCTGCCACTGGATGCTCAGTTTGAGAGGGAAAAAGATACTTTATGAAAAGTTGGACAAGTGAAAAACACATCAACATCTTTCAACAATTATGATCGCTGCAAAAGAAAAAGAAAAGAACCCACATTTAAAAATATATATATTATTTCTCCTGAGGTACTCAAGAAATGGAGAATGTCTTACTCTGCATAATGATAGGACTTTGCTAGGAACACCCAGAGTGTGTGGTGGTTCAAGGAGTTCTGTTGCAGTAATCCTCTATGCGCTGCTGATTAAGAACATTTACAAAAGAAACCTGTGCTTATTTTACAGGGAACCAGAGAGGAAGGCTATACAGACCCTGCTATGGCAGCTCAGGATGCTCCTCTATGGGCTGCTGATTAAGAAAGAAACCTGTGCTTATTTTACAGGGAACCAGAGAGGAAGGCTATACAGACCCTGCTATGGCAGCTCAGGATGCAATGGTAACTAGAAGCAGATCTCAAATGGACTACGATGAGCCTGTGTTAAATGGTCTGGGATGGTTCTAATGCTACCTGTTTGCTCTGTGATGTTTCAGGTCCTGTGGGAAGCCTGTCAGCAGAAAACAGGGGAACATAAAACTATGCTGCAAATGATCTTGTGCAACAAGAGCTACCAGCAGCTCTGGCTGGGTAATTATTTGGGTTTCTTGCTGGCTACTCAAATGATTATGTTAAACATACACACACACACAAGCAAAACAACAAACAAAACAACTAAGTAGCTAGAATAGAAAGAGAAGACATTACACAGAAATATAGAAAAGTAAGCTTTATCGAAAGTTTTACTCTGAGTTATGTTTATACAGATATGTCTCATATAATCACATTACTGAAGTAATAAAGTTTTTACCATATTATTTTGCTAACAAACTGAATTTTATCAATTTAAGTATTGACCATATCAAAAATGATCTTAATTTTTCATGGAGAACTCACTCAAATATATTAGCTCCTTCCTATTATGTATATCATATGCTGCTTTGGCAAGTATATAACGAACCAGGGTTAGCCAGCCCTTAATGAGTCAAGGTCATCATGGTTGACATTCATGATTTATGTGAGGTCAGAGGTGCCTTACTGGTCTTAGAAATGCACTCATAATAGCTTGCACTTTGACCTTTGCCAAACTAACGTACCTTGCTTTTTCCCTTGTTAAAACAAACAAGCCAAAAAAACTTTGTTTTTTTTTCTTAATATAAAACACAAAGCAGCTTATAAAAATTTTAAAAGATGGCCTACCTTAACCCAACTGCCACTTCTATACTACATTTGCCAATTATTGGTAGTAATAATAATGATTTTAATAAGACATCTCCTTGCTTCTAATTTGCTCTAAGAATGAATGAGAACTAAAAGTTGCCTGAGATAATGCCAGATAAGTAAGTTCTGAAAATAAGGAAGCTTAATTTAGCACAATTCTAAGATAGTAAACTGAGTTCATTTTCTACAGGTGGTTTCATATTTCTCAGAATACTCTAAACAGATTTTATAATCATTTTGAAAAATTTTGCTAGAGGGCACATATATTTGCCAGAGAGAAAGAGAGAAGAAAGAGAAAAAATGTGAAGTACCCCCTATGGGAGTTGGTCACACTGCAATTCTGTCTCTTCCATTCTCCTTTAAGAAGAATACATACATACTTGCCTGGTACTTTTCTCAGGCCACATGATCCAGGACTAAATCCAAGCAATCAGCCATGTGTGGTCTAGCCACTTTAACCATCAAGTCACCAGCTAGCCCATGACCACCATTTCAGTCATCACCCAAAGGACTTATACACTTGATTCTCATCTCAAACTGTAGTAGAAAGTTTGCCATTGACCTAAGTCTGATTGACAATTACATATGTCTTAAACAAATGATTCAAGAATAATTATTGATTGTATGTATAAATTTTACATATGCTTTTATTTATAATGTTTTTATAAACAAATTATTTGTTTATTTAATTTTTTCATTATTGACAATAACATGCATGCATGCACAAGTCAGAGAGAGAAAGGAGCAGCCTCAGAGGGTCCTCCACATCTCCATCCCACTGGACCTTGGGCACTCATGCATGTGCCCACCATGTTTCAGGATGACAAACCAGGGATTTGAACTGAGTTCACATGGGAACTGGCTTTTTTTTAAGAGAGATTTTTGCTATAGGGAGCATGTGCTCACTAGAGAGACAGAGAGACAGAAAGTGAGAACTCACCTCCCAGGGGGATTGCCATACCTCAATCCTTTGTCTTCCATTCTCCTCTTGGGATTCTGAGCACTGTATGTTCCCATACCTAGCATGAGTTTCAAGCCTCTGGGTCCAGGACTTGAACTGTAGTCAACTATGTGGAGTTCAGCAACATAACCAGAAGACAGAGAGAAACAAGTAAAAAACCACCCCCCTGGGGGGATGGCCACGCTGCAATCCCTTCTCTTCCATTCTCCTCTCAGGATCTTGGTCATGCATGCCCATGTACCCAGCATGAGTTTAAGCCACTGTGTCTGGAACTTGAGCCGAAGTTGAGTACATGGGAGTCCACCAACATAGCCATTACACCAATTGCTGGTCCCAAGAACCTGATTTTCTTGATCAGTGCAGTATCTCTGCATCATGGAGATGGTCTCTCTCTGCACCATGGAGATGGTCTCTGTTTCCCAAATTTAAATGAGCAGCCATTAGTGGGTCCCTCTAGAGATGGCAATTGCTACCCAGGAAAAGAGAGCAATAACAAGTCTTTGAGGTTCAAGGTTTACACCGACTACACTAACTTAGGGTATTTGTTTTTATTTCAAAGAATAGTTACACCAAATACAACCAACAGGACCAATATTGTCACTTATTTTCTAGACAATGTTTATCTTCATTATGTATAGCAATCTAATCAGTGTTTATTCTTTAAATTTATATCTACAAAACCTCTCTTGAATCACAACAATTTACTTAAGTTTTCCAGGAATTTCAAAATATTTCTGGGCAGGACATGGTCGATGCCATTAATGAATGTTATGATGGATACTTCCAGGAATTGCTAGTTGCAATTGGTAAGTACTAATTTATTGACTGTACACAATAACTTTTATACCACAATCTCTGCTGATTGGCTCTGATTGAATTAAAGGTGCTGGAGTAAACTTTTGATATAATTACTTTCCCGTCAATTTTATTATTTAAAAGGGACATAAACTCCATGGAGAAAAAAAATATCTTTACTACCAATACCGTGCACTAAAATGATGACTTTAATGAACTCATTCAAGCTCATTCAAGTTTCATATTAGGAAACAGAACTCTCAGATGTTCTCAGGAATTGAGTCCTTACACTGATGAACCCATTTTGTATTTACTGACTTCATTCCCATGTTCAAGAGTAGAAAAATGCTAGCAACATGCTTCCTTTTCTCCAAAGGCATAGAGCTTTTTGTTTGTTTTGGCACCAACTGTACTAAATTTGACTTTAAGAGAAAATCTTACCCTGAAAGAAATTTACTAAGTTTCTACTCAATAGTGATGTATGCAAGAAAGGTGGCCCTCTCTTTTCTAGGGTGAGATGTCACTCCACAGAGGTAAAAACAGTGGTAGTTATACAGAAGAACTACCATTAAACTGCCCGTGTTTATCTCCCACTCTGCTGTGACTTGACAGCACACATCTCAGGGACTACAAGTAAGGGGTCATTGTGAAATATCCCACAGCTGGTATATACCAAGTAATCACTTAGGTATTTATGAAATAAATGAATACTGTGGTTTTCTGTTCCCAGAATGACACAGACTTTGGAAATGAGCGTTAACAGAATTTGCGTAGTTAATCTAATAAATGAATTTTCAGTTAGAGTTCCATGATAAATGGTGGGTTCTGTGAAACCCCTAAAAGTCTGAGAAGCAACAAAGTTACGATAAGAACATATGACATCCATGACTCTAGATGACTCTCGCTCTACTCTAGACCATGGCCACAAAGCAGTGGGTAGAAAGGAAACAGAAAATGTCAAAAATACCAGGAAACATTTTAACTCATTTCTTCTTTCATTCAATAAACATTTATTGAACACCTTTAATTTTAGTCACTGATTGAGGCACTTCAAATGGAACAGTGAAACACAATGAAAACAACAATAAAATTTTCAGCCTTTGGGGCTTACTTTTAAAAAAAGGGGAAGAGGATCAGCAGATGGTGTAATGGGTACATTGCTGGACTCCCATGTAGTCAGCCACAGTTCAAGTCCCAGACCCAGCTGGGGCGCATGTGCATGCATCCCCAAGATTCCAGAGGAGAATGGAGGAGAAGGGATTGCAGTGCAGCCATCCCCCCTTGGGGGTGATTTCTTGCTTTATTTCTCTCTTTCTCTTGCACGCACCTTCTAGCAAAAACCTCTCCATTAAAAAAAAAAAAAAAGTCTATTTTATTTCCAATAGCAAATGTGTGCACATGAGAAGGAAGAGCATCCTTTGCAGGGTCTCATCACACCATGATGTCCCTTTCAGCTTGTCAGGATCTTGAGCACATGTTCATTTGGCTGCCATCTTTTCAAACCACCGTGGGTCAGTTTGCTACTGACAACACAATCAGGCCAAGTTAAGGGACTTATATTCTAGCAGTGACTTAGAGTGATTATGAGGCTCATTGTATTAAAAATAAAAGAGAAGGGTATGATTATAGTCTTAAAAAAATGCTTCAACTACAGTGTTCTAATGATTTTATTTTGGCTAGAAGTTATAGCCTTTCATACATTACTTATTCATGTATTAATTTACTAACTTACTCAAATAGACACTATCAAATGCCTACAACCATCTTCTGACTTTCATTATGGACAACTGTTGGCCAGGGTCTAAGCTACTCTAAAGCCCTAACAGTTTTGATGAGGTGGCTTCTTAAATTGGCCTAGACCATTTATGGTCCATCAGTTTCTCCTTAGATTTCAGATCTCTTCACAAATCCATGATGCTAATAATAAGTCTCATTCAGGAAGATAAATTAATTACATGGGAGCTATGTCATATTGAATCATATGATAAAAAAATTCTATAATAGTGGTGATAACCTAGGTCTCTTTTAAGCTCTATTTATTTGATTTTCAGATAAATAAGATATATTTTTCTATGCCAGGCTACCTCGAGAAACTCACAAGTTCTAAGATACAAAGATAGACCCAATGAAAATCTGAATCAATCATTATAATAAGTTGTTTTATATTTTTACTGTGGGTTATGGGGTTACCACTGCTCTAAGTGTCGAAACTATAACACAATGTGAAGATTGTATCAGAAAAAAATTACTTGCATTGTTTTTTAATTTCTAAAGAAAATATATGTTTTTATGCTAAATTTCTACTTTTCTCTCTGATTTCTTCTAGTTCTCTGTATTCGAGATAAACCAGCCTATTTTGCTTATAGATTGCATAGTGCAATCCATGTAAGTAAGACTCTCATTTTTAAATTTTATTTTTAGAAATTGTATCTATTTTACCAGAGGACAATATTTCTATTATTTAAACATTGATTTCCATCTTAATTTGTACATAAATATATGTATTCCAGAGAAAGTACCAAGAGAAAGAAACTGTTATATACTAAAAATAAGTTCCATCAAATAAAAATAATGCTTTTTCTGTATCAAACTTAGGCAACTAAAAATTATGATTGTTTGAGATCTTTCTTCCCTATATGCTGTAGATTCTCATAGCATCAGCAGAAATGGATAAATATAATGCTTTTGCATATTTCCAAAGATTGCCAACATCATATTGATACAAGTATAAAAAAATTGCATCAAAAAGACAATGTCAAAATATTACAAGCGTTCAGCAAGAAATTGCTACATTCCTGAAGTTTAAAGCACAAAATAATGTCAGTGATTATTTTAAGCACATATTATTGTCAAAAGTAAGTAAAGACAGCAGTAAACCCTAAAACTATGTTTGCAATTGAATGGAAATAGTTTTCCTACTTTAGTGTGATATTCAATCACACATCCTTTTGTGCATTTGTTTTTAAGGAAACACACACTTGTAAGTACACACCTTCCTCATAACGTGCATGACACAGATTTAGAAAAAGGATTTCACCTGGAATATTTATAATGATTGTCTTGTAAGTTTTATAGTCCAATTTCTCAAAATAGCTGTATTATGAGAAAATATGCTAACAGTCCAGAATATTTCATTCTATACCTTGTGCAAAATTTATTTTTTATTTATGCATATGAAGGATCTATTAACTTCACATCACAGGAGTCAGGCCAATGTTCAGTTTGTGGCATCTCTTGTATTTTATTCTATGGAAAAAAGGTTGATTTTAGTAAAAAAGTTCTTTTAAATATATATTGGGCTATGCTATAGGATAATTTCAACTGTTTCTTTCTCCAAAGAACCAGCCATTGCAACAGCAGAATAAAGCCTCTCTTGTGAGTGATCGTCACAATTTCCCTGCTTCCAGTTATGCCAAAATTCAGTTATTTATTATAATAATAAATTTTCAAAGGTAACATTGCCATGTGCATGGAAAAATGGAAAGTATACTTACTGATAAGTAGCTTGGAGGTAAAGAAAGGGATTGTATATTCAACTAATCAAGATGTGCATATTTGTTAAAAATATTTGGTATAATCTTATACCAAAGAAGACATATGTGTTTTTCTCCAGTGAACTCTAAGTGAATGACATATAACTTAAAATTTTAAACTTGATTAGATCATTTATTTGTATCACTTCATTTCAAATTATAAAAAGTTTTATAGAAGATCCATTCAGACATCAAAATTTAGGTTTTGCTTAGAGGCCACTAGAGGTCAGAATTACTCCACTTGAATGAAAATCTGAACCTGACTTGTTAGCCAGTATTATTTCTGGCGTTAGTGCACAGCCATTGATTTTGTACTTTTCAGTATCTAAATTTAAATCAGAAAATATTTCAAGCACCTAGTATACTGATTTTTACAGTTTCTCAGTAACAGACAATATGAAAATGTAATTGCTATCTTACTGAGACATACTTATATTCATTTAATACAGTTCAGAATATTTGTCCGGGGTTCTCAGTGGGAGGTGACTTGAACTCACGCCATTTGCATGTGTGCCAAGATCCTTAGAGGAGAATGGTGAAGAGGTTGCAGTGTGGCCATCCCCCTGGGGGTGATTTCTCTCTTTTTGTCTCTCTTTCATTTAATACAGTTCAGAATATTTGTCCCCCCTCCCCCTGGGGAGAATTTTTATCTAGAAAGACAACATGATCAGATTGCATTTTAAATAATTATTTTATTTAACTTTATTTTACTTATTTATTTATTACTTTAGTTTGACCAGAGAGGGAGGGAGGAAGGGGGAAGAGAGAGAGAGAAAAAGTGAGAAAGCAAGCCACCAAGTCTGGTACTTGAACTGTGGTCAGCCACATGGGAGTCCAGTGCACTTAACCACCATGCCACTTGCTGGGCCCAGATTGCACTTTAGTGTGAAGGAGAGAATGTGAAGTTTGACAAGGCTGGAGACAGGGAGAATCAGGATCAGGGTAAAATGATGAAGGCCAGGAATAGAGACTCAGGGCCTTGAAGTAGTAAAATAGAAAGACGGTAATTATCCATGGGAAATACCCAGTAAGGGACAGTGAAGTCACAGGTAGTTCTCAGGATCTGACACGGGCACTGCATGGATGGTCACACCAGCTCCTTACATTGAGGAACACAGGAAGTAGCTTGCTACAGAAAAGGGGACATGTCCTTTTGGACAAACTTATTTTAAAGGGCCATTTTCTCATTTTCCTCTCTTCTCTGTATCTTTTAGGACTTTGGTTTCCATAATAAAACCATCATCAGAATTCTAATTGCCAGAAGTGAAATAGACCTCCTGACCATAAGGAAAAGATACAAAGAAAGATATGGAAAATCTCTATTTCATGATATCAGAGTAAGTCTATACACATGGTTTACTTTGACATATATTTTATTCTTTTTGAAACTGAGATTAAAGCTTTCATTTAAATAACTTCAAGGAGGAGTCTAAATATTCTGACAGGGATAATCAACTTTAGTCCTTCAGACAGTCTTCAATGCATAACTTGGTGCTAACTTGGAAAAACTCTTCACCTTGGACGCAGTAGATGGGCATAATGGTTATGTCGCTAGACTCCAATGTAGCTGACCACGGTTCAAGTACTGGACTGGCGACTTAAAACTCATGCCAGGCACTTACGCATGCATGCCCAAAATCCCTAGAGGAGAATGGAGGAGAAAGGATTGCTGGTGACCATCCCTCGAGGGGCAATTTCTCACTTTCTGTCTCTCTGTCTTTCTCTCCAGCGAACACACATGCCTTATAACAAAAATCTCTCCCCCCAACAAAGACCCTTCACCTCAATGACAGATGTATTTCAAGTAAAATCATTGATGTAGTCATGCTAAGTATTCATTTCCTATAATTATGTTTTATGAGCTAAATTGTGGAGTATGACCAGGATCAGGAAAAGTATATTTGGAAGAAAGAACACATTAACAGGAACCAGCAGTTAGCGTAATGGCTATGTCGCTGGACTCCCACGTAGTCAACCATGGTTCGCGTCCCGGACCTGGTTGCTTAAAACTCACGCCGGGCATGTGTGCGTGTGTGCCCAAGATCCCGAGAGGAGAATGGAGGAGAAGGGATTGCAGCGTGACCATCCCCCCTGGGGTGTGATTGCTCACTTTCTGTCTCTATGTCTCTCTCTGTCTGTCTGGTGAGCGCACGCGCCCTGTTGTGAAAATCTCTCCCAAAAAAAAAAGAAAAGAAAAAGAAAGAACACATTAACTGTGAAGAAGTTTATTAGATCAGTTCAGATTTCCTGTCATTTTCTGATAGAAGCCGGTCAATACGCTAAACTGGTAATTTGGAGAAGTTGAACGTTACTACTATAAAATTCTACCTAATATTATCCTGTTACCCCTTAAGGGCAAAGAAGCAATGATTCAGAATTAAACAAGCCAGTTCCTTCATTCTGATACTTTTAAACTTTACCCTAGCTAGATTTTGATAAAACCTAGACAAGATCATCAGAATATGTGAGGCCATATATGTAATTTTGGGGACTCACTGAAAAATGAAATGCTTGGTACCTTATACCAAAATATTTTTAAATATTTAAGCTGGACCCATAACACTGTACCTAGTATAAGAAGCAGATCCCACAGGGACCAAGCAGAGCTTGAGTCCCAGCCCTACTGGTTTACACACAGGATGTGCACATACATAGGTACCCTGAATACTGATGGGACAGAGAAGTGGAGGAAAAGGAACTATGTCATGATCAGGCACCACTGGAGAGTGATTTCCCTCTCTCTCAGCTTTACATGTGTATAATGAAATTTTACAAAGATATCGTCACAGGGACAGAAGAGCATTAAACTAGGTACAGGGGTTGAAAATGTATGTTCTTATATTTGGCACACAACTAAGTGCTACTACATTTTTTACATTGTTTTCAACTGATATTTTTAATAAGAAGAAATAGCTTTATAGTATCAATAGAATAATCTAGAAACAACCTGACAAACAAAAGACCAAGAGAACAGAAAATTTGGAAAATGTTGTAGGCCCTTGAGGAGCCAAAGTGTTTTTCAAGAAGTTGATAAAACAGGAGAAATCGTATTCCTTTAGCTTAATAAAAGATTTCTTACATCCACCTTTAAAAGACTAAATATTTTAGGGACCAGCAGTTAGAGTAATGGCTGTGTCGCTGGACTCCCATGTAGTTGACTGCAGTTCGAGTTCCGGACCCCGTGGCTTGAACTCACGCCAACGCGTGTACGTGCGTGCTCATGATCCTGAGAGGAGAATGGAGGAGAGGGGATTGTGGCTTGGCCATCCCCCCTGGGGGGGTGCTGAGGGGTGATTTCTCGCTTTCTGTCTGTCTCTCTCTGTCTTTCTGGTGAGCGCACGCGCCCAGTAGCAAAACCCTCTCCAAAAAAAAAGAAAAAAAGACTAAATATTGTAGTTATGATAAACATTTCCCATGGAGGAAGGCATGTCATAACTCATTTTCTAAATGGATAAATTAGTTCTTGTACACTTACTATAATTAATCCCAGCCACTCAAAGTGTTCTAATATTTACATAAGATTAATGCATTTTTACTATGTGTACTTAAAGCAGTTAATTAGAGCCACTTGACTTATGAGAGATAACATTAATGTGATAGTTGATTTTTTAAAAATAATTATTTATTTTTTAGTATTTTTTAAATTTGACCAGAAAGAGAGAGAAAGGTAAAGTGAGAAAGGAAGCCACCAGGTCCAGGACTTGAACTGTATCAGCCATGTGGAAGTCCAGCACCTTAACCATCACACCACCTGCTGGCCCCAAGTGCTATTTGATTTTTAACAAAAAATAAATTTCATAATAGTATATATTTACTACTATCATTGTTCTGGAAGATATAGAAACAAGAGAAGCCCATGAAAACATAAATATTGCCCTAATTCTCCACCACAGAAAACCAGTAATTAAATTTTGTTCTACGTGCTGCTATGGACTGATGTTTGTGTCCCTCATAATGTACACTATTGAAATGCTAATCCCCATGGTGATGGTATTAGGAGGTGATGTCTTTGAGAGATGATTAGGTCATGAGACTGGAGCCCATGAATAGGATCAGTGCTATTATAAAACAGAACCAATGGAAGCACTTTGTCCCTCTGCCATGTGAGATTAGAATGAGAAGAGGCTGACCATGAGGAAGAAGGTCCTCAGCAGGCATTTAATCTGCTGGCATCTTCATCTTGGACTTGACAATCCTCAGAACTGTGAGAAATAAATTCTTGTTTATAAGTCATCATTTTTTAGTATTTTGTTACACCAGCCCAAATGGACAAAGGTATGTAATTTTACTCTTTCTCTTTTCTTGCTATTTTAAATATGTATAAATAATATGTATTATTATTTAAGTAATATTTGTATTGAATGATGATATCCCTTTGTGTAAACAATAAAGTACCTAAACAACCTCACATTATTAGAGATTCTTTTCAGCTTTTCACTAATAAACTTACTACAATATGTATATATTTTTAAGATAAATATTTGTGCTTAGGAATAATTGATAATATTTTTTTTTGAGAGGTTTTTGCTATATGGCGCATGCGCTCACCAGAAAGACAGAGAGAGACAGAGAAATAGAAAGCAAGAAAAAAAAAACCCAGGGGGTTTGGTCAAGCCGCAATTCCTTCTCCATTCTCTCAGGATCTTGGGCTTGCATGCACACACGTCTGGCGTGAGTTTAAGCCACAGGGTCGAGGACTCGAACCGCAGTCAACTACATAGGAGTCCAGCATCATAGCCATTATGCCAACTGTTGGTACTGATAATATTTTTCTTAAGAAATTTATCTGGCAATGGATTGACACATCAACAAGTATAAACATTTTAAAATCTTTTGAAATGTACTGCATTTTGCAAACTGACTACGGATTTATCAGTATAATAATACTAGGGTGCCTCTTTTTAAAGTAAATGAGAAGATTTAATTCTGTTGCAAGTTATTGTTTTTTATAAATACACATTAATGTTCAGTCAACTTTACATAAACCACATAATGTTGACTATAACCACGTATGATATTTTAACAATGTTCACTGAAAATAGTTCTCAGGAAATATTAAATCGGTAGATTAAAAAACTAAATAATTTTGGAAAGGTTAATGATTCACTGGATCTTTTATTCTGCATTTCAGAAGGAATTATAGTTTTTAGAAATTGTATGACATTTCATTTAAATACAATACATTTTTCTCTTCAGAATTTTGCTTCAGGACATTATGAAAAAGCACTGCTTGCCATCTGTGCTGGTGACGCTGAAGACTACTAAAATGAAGAGAAGGATTTGTAGAACTACATACTCCTCTTTATAGACACATCAGAATATATTTTTGATAAATTTGAGCTATTGGTAGTACCATAACAAAACTATAAATCATATTTTCTCTTCTATCTTTAAAATTGTTCAAAGCCAAGTAAAATCCATTAATGAAAATATATGATACTGTATCTCACATATTATCTAATCAGCAGTTAACTAAATTGTCCATGATAGAATAATAAAAATATTGTATTGGAATATATTTTATTTAAATATCAACCATTAATATCCTACAATAAAATAGTGAGCTTGGGGACCAGCAGGTGGTGTGGTGGTTAAGGTGTTAGACACTCCCACATGGCTGACCATGGTTCAAGTCCTGGACCTGGTGGCTTGCTTTCTCACTTTCTTTCTCTCTCTCTCTCTCTGTGTCTCCCTCTGGTCAAATTAAAAAATAAATGAATGAATGAATGACTACAATAAAATAAAAATAATTCTTAGAAGAAAAAGGATAGTGAGCTCAAGGCTATTCTTAGCATGATTTGGGAGACTGAGGAAAATGCATTATGTGACCATCTGCCTTAGAAGAATTTTCAATATTCTTATACAAATGCTTCTGCAGTAAAGCTAAAGTGAACATCTACAGCATTCTTTAAAAGAAACAGCCCCTAGCCTAGTAGTTAAGGGAGCCAGATCCCACATGTTTGGCTACTGTTCAAATCCTGGTTCTGGCAGCTTCAAAAATATGCAAGATACACATGCATGCATGCCCAAGATCCTGACAGGATGAAGATAATGGAAGAAAAGAGATTGTGGTATGACCATTTTCCACTGAGGATGCTTTCTCCTTTTTTCTCTCAGTCTCTTTCTCTCTCTCTCCAGCAAATACATGTATCCTTAGGAATTAGAAAAAAAGGAAAAAAATTGAGACATAAAATAGCAAAACAAAGTCAGATATATGCTTGTCTGGATTAGATGTAAAAGAAATGTGGATGTAAAAATAGAGGATTGTGTATGTTTGCATGTATGTGTTTGTGTGTGGTTTGACAATCACTCTGTTAAGGCAATTTATCTCCAGTTCATTTGTTTTTGAATCACTACATAATCAATCACTTGCCCAAAAAATTCCAGAAAAGTCATTGTTCACTGTTTTTGTCTTCATTCTTAGAACTCTATCAAAGACATTTGGAAGTGATTATATATATTGTGCCCTCAGTTCAACCTGGTCTCTATTCTCTCTCTCAAGCTTCAGCAAATTAGGAACAACAAAGAAAAAATACTGATCAGATTTTTGGAGAAAACCTAAATTGAAAACCCAAAACATAAATTGCCACAATCTACCCAAGAATGAAAACAAAGACAGGGATAATGGAGTCTACCATAGAGGACTCCCAATCTAAGCAGAGGGTCATAGGAAGCAATGGTTTATGAAGTCAGCAAGGCAATACATCTAAATGAACTAGTGAAGTGATATACATACATATATATATACACACATATATATATATACACACACATATATACACACACATATATATACACACATACATATATATACACACACATACATATATATACACACACATTCAGAACCTAGTGTCTGACAGAATGAAACAGGACATTTAGAACACAGGATGGCTGGCCCACAGTGTGGTATTTGGGGAGGCTGGATTATGCATGGTCAACTGCATAGTTCAAACCCCAGACCTGCAGACTTGAGAAACATACTGGGTGTATGTCCTTGTACATTCATGCCCAAAATCCCGAAAAGAAGGAGACGAGATTGTGGTATAACTACTCCCCATGAGGTAACTTTCTCACTTTCCTTCTCTCTCTGTCTCCCAGTGTGCGGGTTGGGAGGAACAAAAAAAAAAAAAAAGAAACAAACTATAAAACTGCTCCTAGAAAACACTGGGGAAACTCTGGGAGGCATTAGGGGAGGGAAAGACTTCTTAAATAAGACCCCCAAAGCACAGTCAATAATCCCCAGAATAGACAAGTGGGATTATGAGAAGTTTCTGCATAACAAAAGACACAATAATGACAGCCCTCAGAACGGGAAAATATTTTTGTAAATTATGCATCAGATAAGGGATTGATAACCAGAATACACAAGGAACACAAGCAGCTGTCTGGAAAAAAAGATGATCAGCCCTATTAAGTTAGGAGAATGAGTTGAAAAAACACTCTCTAAAGATGACATACGAATAGCCAAAAGGCATATGAAAAAATGCTCAACATCTCTCATTGTAAGGGAAATGCATATCAAAACAACAATGAGATACCACCTAACCCCAGTCAGAATGTCTAAGATTAAAAAAAAAAGATAAGTGTTGGCGAGTGTGTGGTGAAAAGGGAACTCTCTTACACTGCTGGTGGGAATGTAAATTAGTTCAGCCACTGTGGAGAACAATTTGGAGATTCCTCAAAAATCTACAAATAGAACTATCATTTGATCCAGAAATCCCACTCCTTGGTATCTACCCAAAGACAGAAGAATTCTTCATTGGAAAAGTGCTTGCACATCGATGTTTACCACAGCAGTATTCATGATTGCTAAGACGTGGAACAAACCCAAATGCCCCCGTACAGATGAATGGATTGAAAAACTGTGGCACATATACTCTATGGAATACTATTCAGCCATAAAAAAGTAAATAAATAAATAAATAAATACCCTGGCTTTTGACAGAAAGTGGAAGAATATGGAAGATTTACTGCTGAGTGAAGCAAGCCAGGCTATGAAGGAGAGACATTGTATGTCCCCACTTAATCTATACTGAGTGTCCACACTCTATGACTGAAAATGATTGACTAAAGAATGTACAAACACAAGACATGGATATAAATGCCAGATGTGGGGTGTGTGGAGGAGTGGGGTGAGGCCTGGGGAAGGACATTTGGAGGAGGGATATAGAGGCAGAGAATTGACGGAACGGGGAGGTGTGGTGTTATCTGTTGAAGATATTTTGATCAACTGGACTAGGGAGAAATGTTCACATATTCAAATGTTCACTTTGTAAGCTAATAATGTGTTTGAATGTATAAAAAAATTTAAAAATAAATAAATAAATTGTTGCCTATTTTATCAAAGGACAATTTTATGTATTTTATTTAAATACTGATTTCCATTTTTGTTGCTTATTTAATCAAAGGACAATTTTATGTATTTTATTTAAATACTGATTTCCATTTTAACTTGTACATAAATATATGTATTCCAGAAAAAATACCAAAAGAAAAAAACTGTTATATACCAAAAATAAGTTCCATCAAATAAAAATAATGCTTTTTCTGTATCAAACTTAGGCAACTAAAAATTATGATTGTTTGAGATCTTTCTTCCCTATATGCTATAGACTCTCATAGCATCAGCAGAAATGGATAAATATAAATGCTTCTGCATATTTCCAAATATTGTCAACATCATATTTATACAAGTATAAAAAAATTGCATCAAAAAGACAATGTCAAAATATTACAAGCGTTCAGCAAGAAATTGCTACATTCCTGAAGTTTAAAGCACAAAATAATGTCAGTGGTTATTTTAAGCACAAAATATTATTATCAAAAGTAGGTAAAGACAGCAGTAAACCCTAAAGATTATGTTTGCAATTGAATGGAAATAGTTTTCCTACTTTAGTGTGATATTCAATCACACATCCTTTTGTGCATTTGTTTTTAAGGAAACACACACTTGTAAGTACACACCTTCCTCATAACGTGCATGACACAGATTTAGAAAAAGGATTTCACCTGGAATATTTATAATGATTGTCTTGTAAGTTTTATAGTCCAATTTCTCAAAATAGCTGTATTATGAGAAAATATGCTAACAGTCCAGAATATTTCATTCTATACCTTGTGCAAAATTTATTTTTTATTTATGCATATGAAGGATCTATTAACTTCACATCACAGGAGTCAGGCCAATGTTCAGTTTGTGGCATCTCTTGTATTTTATTCTATGGAAAAAAGGTTGATTTTAGTAAAAAAGTTCTTTTAAATATATATTGGGCTATGCTATAGGATAATTTCAACTGTTTCTTTCTCCAAAGAACCAGCCATTGCAACAGCAGAATAAAGCCTCTCTTGTGAGTGATCGTCACAATTTCCCTGCTTCCAGTTATGCCAAAATTCAGTTATTTATTATAATAATAAATTTTCAAAGGTAACATTGCCATGTGCATGGTACATGGAAAAATAGAAAGTATACTTACTGATAAGTAGTTTGGAGATAAAGAAAGGAATTGTATATTCAACCAATCAAAAGGTACAGATGAATGGATAGAAAAACTGTGACACATATACTCAATGGAATACTATTCATTAAAAAACAACAAAACCCTGGCTTTTGACAGGAAGTGGATGAATATGGAAGATTTAGTGCTGAGTGAAGCAAGCCATGCTATGAAGGAGAGGCATTGTATGTCCCCACTTAATATATACCAAGTGCCCACACGCTATGACTGAAACTAATTGATTAAAGGATATAGAAACACAGTGAATAGATGTAAATACCAGATATAGTGTGTGTGAAAGAGGCGGCTCTGAGGAAGGACATTTGGGGAGGGACAGGGAGGCAAAGCATTAATGGCACAAAGAGGTGTGGTATTATCTGTTGAAGATATTTTGTAGTTTTATCAACGGTACTAGGGAGAAATGTTCACCTGTTGAAATATCCATTTTGTGAGACCAGCAGTTAGTGTAATGGCTATGTCGCTGGACTCCCATGTAGTCGACCGCGGCTCAAGTCCCGGACCCGGTGGCTTAAAACTCACGCCGGGCGCGTGTATGTGTGTGCCCAAGATCCCGAGAGGAGAATGGAGGAGAAGGGATTGCGGCATAGCCATCCCCCCTGGGGGGGGATTTCTCGCTTTCTGTCTCTCTGTCTGTCTGGTGAGTGCATGCGCCCTACAGCAAAAAACTCTCAAAAAAAAAAAATAAAAATGATTGTATTGTAGTGTGGACATCACCTAAAATGAAAAAAAAATTTTAAATAAAAGGAAAAAAAATTTTGGTACACTCTTGTACCAAAGAAAACTTATATGTGTTTTTCTCCAGTGAACTCTAAGTGAATGACATATAACTTAAAATTTTAAACTTGATTAGATCATTTATTTGTATCACTTCATTTCAAATTATAAAAAGTTTTATAGAAGATCCATT